GGCATAATTGGATCTGTGGTACGACTCTGGGGGGGGTTCTGAGTCTGCAATTGAGGGCAATTCTCAACATCTAGTAGAGACTTTAGATTCGCATTTTCCTGTGCCTACTTTTTGTCTGTTGGATTTTTGCCCCCCTATGGGTCAGTGGTAAGTTTGCGGACTCACAACGCTGGGGTTTGATTCCCTAGAGTGGATGTGGCAGATGGCCTGAAGTTGCTTTGCTCTTTCAAAATGTTGTTCCAATGAATGATAATCACCACAATCTTTATATTGACCTATGAAAAACGAAAAGGAGGCCACTTTGGGAAAAGATGCCTTTGATTTGGTTTTATTCTGTTTGTTCTTCAAATGTTTGATGTTTGGGTTTTTTCTGGTTGCTTTTGAGCCTGCAACTTACTTGATGGCTGAAATGTCTGGGAGCAAATTTTTAGTTTTTTTTCTCCATACATGGATATTGTGGTTCATGCTGGAAGGTTTACTTCTTAGTTATATGAAGGAACAGTTAGGCCTTATCCGACACGTTGTTGGAACTTCGAATTTCAGGGTTCTGAGGTGGAATTTGTATTTCACCTATATAGGTCTATGTCCCCTGATGTGACAGAGTAAGTCTATGGACTGTGAGTTTTATTTGGGAACTCGGGATTGGCATGTACTTTTAAGGAAACTAGTAATGAAGATGTGCAATTTTTATATAGAGTTTGTAGGTTGGTGGAGAATTTGGAGGAAATTATAATTAAAGTTGAAGCAATAGATAAAGAGAAGTGTAGACTGTGGGAAATGGCAGCAGGATTTCAGGAGGAGCTTAAGCTTTTACATGTAAGGGAAACATCAGCTAACAATGACTCTCAGGAAGTTAGAAAGAGTACTAAATGAGTAAAAAGTAGTGAATTGAGTTATAATGAGCCTATTCTGTTGAGCAACAAATTTCAGGCCTTTGGCTTCTGCAAATGAGGAACTATTGGAGGGAATGAAAACAAAAAGGTCAGAGAAGGATGTGGAAGATAAGGAGGTTATAGTTATAGGTGAATCCTTGACAAGGTATATGGATAGAATAGTCTGTGTGGTAAATAGGGAGAAAAAAATCAGATTATGCTACCCAGAGGCCAGGAGCTATAATAATGGGGACTAGCAGAGATGCAGTTTTTGTGGTGAATGTAGGGGCTAATGGAGTAGGAAAAGGTAGGTCAAAGGAGCTAATTGGTAAGTACAAGGGGTTGATAAGGGCATTTAACGAAAATGGGCCATAACTTAATTCTGTAACTACTTATATACTCATTTCCTATGCTAAACTTTTCTTTGCTTCTTATTCTTTTTGTATTTAGTTTTTTCCTGGTTCTCACCACTGTATAGTCCTAGTTTAAAACTTCCCTTATAGCTAAGTTAATAGCCTTAGCAAACAAGCCAGCCCCTACTCTATTTAAATGTAAACCACCTATTCCAAAAAGCTGCCTTCCTCCACTGAACTCATCCCATAAGTCCAAACAGCCAATTTGCTCATCCTTACATATTAACCTAAGCCTAGTATTTAGCCCTAATTACCTACTTATAACTTCATCCCTACAGTTATATCTGGGCAGTATCCCAGATAAGGATAGGCTTAATTGTTACTATTGTAATGCTAGAAGTATAAGAAATAAAATTGATGACCTTAGAGCACTGGTAGGAATAGAGGATTTTGATATAATAGGAATAACTGAAACATGGTTAAAGGTAAATGATTTTGATGACAGAAATTTCTTTTAAATACAGGGGTACAGGCTATTTAATAGGGATAGAGTATTAAAGATGGGGGGATTGGCTTTATATGTGAGTTACATCTTGTTGAGGATATCAAAGATAATAGCAAGGAGATTGAATCCATTTGTGTTTCTATTAGTGGATATACAGGGAAAAGGCTTTTAGTGAGAATTTGTTACAGACCACCGATGTTTGGGAATGCATCACTCTATGGCTACAGGTTGGGATCCAATCAAAAGTATATATATATATAACGTTGTGGTCCAATTGCTCTAGTCACCAACGTAGGATATAGGGACCAAGAACCCTTAATTTCAACCTCAAGTATTAGTGGAACCTCGATTATCTGGTTGGGGCTGGCCTATAGTGATGATCATTCATGTATAATTCCATCCTTGATACAGAAACTAAGTTCAGGGTGAAGAGCATACCTGTTCTGGATGTAATGGGGCTCCCCCACTTGGGTACCACTCTTATCTTGGTACACTCACGATTTACGCAGACACTTTCTGTATGGATAATTCCCTCATTGGTCTTTCCACCTTCTCAATGTGGGATTCTAGCTATAAGTGACAGCTGAGGTAAGTATGTTTTGTAAAATAACATTTTCCGAAATTGACAATGTATTTTCAAAAATACTTACCTCTGCTAACATTCTTCTGCCCTTCCTCCCCACTAAGAGCCAGTGTTAGAGACTAAGATGATATCAGTCTCGAAAAAATGATAAAAATATCTGAATGAGGTGCTTATATACAGTACCAGGATAGAGAGTGCATTGATGTAGGTGGAGAGTATCACAAGACAATTATTGGCAAGGTCAGTTGAGTTGGGTATAAAAGTGTGGAGCAAGTGAGAAAAAATCACACTAATGCTTAGATGGACAAAGAAGAAACCCTGGAGGTCGAGTAATAGCTATAAGTGTCAACAAAGGTAAGTATTATATGTAATACATTGTCAGTTTAGGTAAGTGTTAACTTTAAGCATTGTAAGCCTGCAGAGTTACAACTGAGCCACTGGAAGACATTAACTACACTACATATACTGATTTGTTGGATGTAATTAATCACCTTTCAGTATAATTACATCCAACACATCAGTACATGTACTGTAGTTCAACCTACAAGATCACCTTTCAGTATGTAGTTCAACCTACAAGCAGTATAATTACATCCAACACATCAGTACATGTACTGTAGTTCAACTTACAAGATCACCTTTCAGTATAATTACATCCAACACATCAGTACATGTACAAAGGTGATCTTGTTCATGTACTGTAGTTCAACCCAGTATAATTACATCCAACACATCAGTACATGTACTGTAGTTCAACTTACAAGATCACCTTTCAGTATAATTACATCCAACACATCAGTACATGTACTCTTGTAGGTTGAACTACAGTACATGTACTGATTTGTTGGATGTAACTATACTGAAAGGTGTTGTAGGTTGAACTACATTACATGTACTGATGTGTTGGATGTAATTATACTGAAATGTGATCTTGTAGGTTGAACTACATTACATGTACTGATGTGTTGGATGTAATTATACTGAAAGGTGATCTTGTAGGTTGAACTACATTACATGTACTGATGTGTTGGATGTAATTATACTGCAAGATCACCTTGTAGGTTGAACTACATTACATGCACTGATTTGTTGGATGTAATTATACTGAAATGTGATCTTGTAGGTTGAACTACATTACATGCACTGATGTGTTGGATGTAATTATACTGAAAGGTGTTCTTGTAGGTTGAACTACATTACATGTACTGATGTGTTGGATGTAATAATACTGAAAGGTGATCTTGTAGGTTGAACTACATTACATGTACTGATGTGTTGGATGTAATTATACTGAAAGGTGATCTTGTAGGTTGAACTACATTACATGTACTGATGTGTTGGATGTAATTATACTGAAAGGTGATCTTGTAGGTTGAACTACATTACATGTACTGATGTGTTGGA